GTGGGTTTTATATGGGCATGACAAAATCATAATGAAAAATAAGAAAAAATATAGTATAAAAATACAGTAAAAGAAGAATCATAAATATAGTAGTTGGAAATTTGCCTAAAAATACATTGAACAAACTTTGGTTTTTGCATTGTGTAGCGCATATCTTAAAATTTTAAGTTTTACATAATCATACTAATTGATATAATAATGGTAGCATTTTATGTTTATCAGGTAGTAGTAATCTGGGCAATGCTGTTATGAAGGAGACATCCTATTTCCAAAGTCACCTTTACAAGTGAAATTTCTTATGCCTGTTTAAAAATGTCAAATGACTGAAAATTGCCAAACAGAATTATATGTACATATATGTAAATATAAATATATATGTATCTGTACTTATATCTATATACACATGTTATGTGCGGTATCCATATCTTAGCTCTCAGTGATGACTTTCACTGATCAGAGCAGATCTTTATCTTCTTTTCCACTGTATATATAGTCTTCGAGAGTTAGTTCCTTGAAGCACTAAGCGAGTGACTTGCCCATGGCTGTACCACTAGCTGGGCCCAGGACAAGTTTTGAACGCAGGGCTTCAGGGCCCTGAGGCCATCTCTCTAACCACTGTGCATCAGTATTTCTTCACGTGAAACATTTTCATTAAGAAAATGTTGTTTTAGTGTTAGTAAAATTTACACGTTGCGTAAGACATACAAAAAATGGAGTTTTTGAAAGATGTTATTATTTTAAAGCAGTTTTTTTTTTGTATCATAGACCCCTTTTGCAATCTGGTGAAGCCTTTGCCCTCTTTTCTGAATAATGTTTTTAAATTCACAAAATTCATAAGATTACAAATGGTCAATTATGTTGAAATACAGCTATATAATTTTTTTTTTAAATTAAGGTCATTAATCCCTGGTTAAAACTCCCTTTTCTAAAGAGTTGAGACATGTTTTCTGTTCATGCTTTGGAGTATTTTTGGAAGATATTACTGAGCTTATACTGTCATATTAAAACCATTTCTTTAGCATTCTATATAAATTTGAATAACAGTATTGGTAATGGACATTTTTCATGTTTTATTTCAATGATTGAAAGTGTTGACTTTTAAATTTTATAACTGCTTATTTAAATAAGTACCTCATGAACATAAAGCCAAACAGGTAAGAAAATGCCTTTTAATAACTTCCTGTTGGCCTTTAAAATGTTTTGCAATTTTTCTTTGGTAAAATGATAAACATTTAATTGAAATATTTTCAAGTTGGATTAATTGATTAATTAAGCATTGTCACATTATAATGACTTGGTTCGTTAGCCAAATGTTGTGGGAAATTTGGTGGGAGGAAGTTTCTGTATGTGTTTACTAGTGATTTAGTAAATACTCATTTGTAGTAACAATAAATTAGTCATCTTAGAAATCTTTCAGAATGTCCCTTTTATGACATTTCATATTTCTCTTTTTTTCCTATAGTGCTTGTCTTGTGGATTACTGTGTGTTCTGCTTATTTTACTTACCAGTTAGTCTTCTGTGATTTAAAAGTGATCTTAAGTTATAAGAAAAAATAGATGATCCATATCACAATTGTATATTTTCATTCTTTTGAGAAATTGGCTAACAGTATATTATAATAGAGCAACTTGACAATAATTTCCTTAAAAGAAATAGGTTTCTTTTGCCCTGAAGGGGAAATTTTTGAGAGGAACTTATTATATTCTTTACACCACAATTTGGTACATTTTCTTTTAGAGTTTACAGTAAGAAACATTAGATTAAGGATCCAAATTAAGAGTTAAGGAATTTTTTGTGAAACATTGGAAAATACAATTTGAATTTTATCTATAGGATACATATCTGTCTTGCCAAGTAAGGCTATGAGAAAAGCATACAAGTGTATGTTTTTGGTTTTTTTTTTTATATCAGGAATTGAGTGTTAGGTAACGCTTGGTAATCAGAGATCATCAGCTTCTGAAATTCTTTTTGGATAATCCATGATCTCAGGGAATGCTTTGAAAAAAGAAAGCCTTCGAAGAAGTCTAGTTTCTATAAAATAAGGACTCTTTAGCCACTTGTACTTTCCATGGAATTTGTTGATATTGTTAAGAAAGTCTGTATATTTTCCCAAAGATCCTTTTTAAAAATTCTGAATTCACTAGGCATTTGTAATTTTTTTTTTTGCCGTTTTTTGCCTACTTGGAACTGAACTGTATAGAAAATATTTTTGTATACATGTTAAACATATTTTTTTCTTTTTCATATAGATGCTCAGTCATATCAGAACAAAAACGTAACAAAAAAGTTTTTTTCCCCCCAAACCTCAACTGATTGGATTTGGGGGTCATTTTTTATTCCAGACTTTTTATTTCATTGGTGTATGGAAATTCTGGGAGTAGAAATGGGCACATTGTCTAATTTATAGTCTCAAAGAATTGCTCAGGGTTCTAAAGAAATTATGTGACTTGCCCTTAACTACGCAACTAGTAGGTGTCAGATACAGAATTTTAATCTAGTGTGCCTGACTCAATTCTTGCCCTCTGTTTATTATACTATGCCCCTTTCCAATTGATCCTATGTTCATATAATGACCTATTTTGCAAAATATTGGATACAGTAAAATTTATCATAATAAAGTAATTTGAGCACCCTTTAGTAGTTGAAAATGACAGATGTTGGCCTTGTAGGGGGATAGGGATACTATGTTAATTTAGCCAATTTACATAGGTAAGCATCTTTTCAATGAGTGGTAGTGAAAGTTAGGAGTATTTTCTTTGTTTTTGTTGTTGTTGTTTTAGGCAATTGGGGTTAAGTGACTTGCCCAGAGTCACACAGCTAGTAAGTGTCAAGTGTTTGATCTGAGGTCAGATTTGAACTCAGGTCCTCCTGACTTCAGGGCCGGTGCTCTATTCACAGCGCCACCTAGCTACCCCAGTTACGAGTATTTTCAATAAAGACAACAGAGTATACCTGAAGATTGCTTCTTTGAACTATGGTCTAAAATACAAAACGAAGTAATTCCAAATGTTGCAAAGTGAAGATAACTAATGAAAACCTTAGTTGTATACTTGCATGGGGGGTGGTGGAAAGAGTACTAAAGTAAAGAATAAATTTGGGGTCAGCAGATTTCCAGTTTGAATTCCGGCTCTGTACCAGTGTGGTAGGACACTGGGCAAATCATTCATCCTTTCTGGGCCTGAGTTCCTTTCTGCATAAAATGAAAGAACTGTTTCAGTTGGAACATTCTGATTCTTTGATTTGAGGATCCCCTCAAAACAGCTTTTCTTTTAGAATGTAAGCTCCATGAGAGTAAGGAATGTTTCATTCTTTGTATTCTTATCACCTAGCACAGTGCCTGGCACATAGTAGGAACTTTAACACATGTTGCCTGATTCTCTGCCCTTAATTCCTTCTTAAGTAATTTCCTGATCTTGATCATATTATTCTCCTGATGGAAGCCACCAGTAAATATATTGTTTTAACTTTTTATTAAAATTTTTTTAAACTTTTTTTCAGTCAATATTTTTTGACAGACCACTTTATTTGAAACAATATACTCGATTCTTTGGGAGTCCTCTTTATGAAGAAGATAATCAGTGCCCCTTGGAATTTGTTATATAAGTGAGAAGGTTGTATTACCTGAATTAGGGTCTAACAGCAGTGGCACAAAGGCTGAAGGGTATTGTGATAATCTATACTGATAATGCCTTACAAAAAGTTCTTGTGGGAGAAGCTGTCTGTACAGTCTAATCTAGAACCATCTATTGATTAAAAAGAACAATGGATGTTGTAGTACAGATCGTTTAACTATGACACCTCTTTACAGTTAGAAGAATTCATTCTAAAATTCACCTGTGTTATAATACATGAAAACTTTAAGAATAACACTTATTTGAAATAAACACTTAAAGTTTGATTAATGCATCATTCACCTTAGGAATGGTGTGAAGAATCTAAAGAAACAAACCTATAAAAGTATATTTAAAAGAAACCAGATATAGATGAAAACTTTTTTTATATTTAAATTGTGTTAAACTGAATTCCTCTAGTACCTTACTCTCTTCCTCATAATATGTCTGACTCTGAGGGAGGCACATTAATTCTTTCAGTGGTCTCTTTAGTTAACTGAATAGCTGGTGGTATGGTATGTAGACGTTCTAAACTGGTGAATTGAAAGGTTAACTGAAAAGCAGAAAACTATTTTAAACTGTTTTGAAATATGTATTAGCATACATTTTACCTTAATAAGTAGAATATGATAAATACATATCTTTGATTATGCAGAGTTGTTGTTTTCCCCCCCAGGGTAGTGGTCATCATGAAGTTTCGTTATATAGTACTTTTCCCCAAAGCTGTTATTATTTCTTTCATTTATTCATTCACCCATTGAGTATTTGTCGACTTGCATGCTTTAAATATATCTGATGAATTTATTGGAAACTCAGTTCGATCCTTAGAATTTAGGGCTGGAAGAAATCTTAGAGATCCAGTGGCCCAGTAGCATTTTTCAGATGAACAAATAAGACCCAGAAAACCTACGTGAAGTTATTTTATTTACATACATACATATGCATGCATATATATATACACACATATGTGTGTAGATTAAACCTCTAATATGAACTACTTGTTTCTTTCCTAAAAATGAAGTTCAAAGTTATTGTTTATTAATTGAAGATTCTGGTTAGCTTTCAAGTTAATTAGTGTTTTGCAGTACTAGAATAGTAATGCACTTTCTTAAGCCTTAAAACTTCAGGGAATGGTTAGAGCATTATGGAGAATAGAGAAGGTACTGTATAATGCTAAGGTTGCATGGCAGATGGATTTACTGTCTTAATTTTCATTTGATAAAGCATGCTTCTGTGACATCATTTGTGACAAAGCTATCCTTAATTTAACAAAAGCCCCTATTGCTTGTAAAACAAGATCTGATGTTTCCATCCATTTCTTTGAGGTATATGAAGCTGAAAATTGTGAGTTGTTTATATAATATTTATAATGTTCTGTTTTATTGCAGCAGCTACTGGTGACATGCCAACTTACCAGATCCGAACTCCTACTACTGCTTTGCCACAGGGAGTCGTAATGGCAGCCTCTCCAGGAAGTTTGCATAGTCCACAGCAATTAGCGGAAGAGGCAACCCGCAAAAGAGAATTAAGACTTATGAAAAATAGGTGAGAATTTTCACTGAAATTGAAACTACTACAAAAAAGCAAGTTTCTCTTAGATATGTTAGAAACTTTTGAAAAACTTCTCTGGTAGAAATTTTCATTTTTGTTTTAAAATGTTTGGTTTTTAAAAATATCTTACTACTGCAGTAAGTATTCTGTGACATTTGCGTAAATCTTTGTTCCACAATTCAATGAAAATCAGATTGGCCTATATTCAGATCAGCAGGAGGTGCATTCCTTCCTGTTGCTAAGGATGATGTTCAGTTACTGCTTTCACAATCACTTTTTTTTTCCCTCATGTTAACTAATGAGAAACTTTCTTTATAAAAATTGTTATTTTTGAAGGTTTTATTAATATAATTTATTTTTATATCACCTTGATTTCCCAATATGGATCTCTCCATTTTTAGAGAGCCATGCCTTGAAAAAAAGAGGGAAAAAATAATGTAGGTAAGCAAAAAGTGACAAACACATCAGCTCAGTCAGATAGTCTATGTAGTGTTTCATACTCATTCCCTATCTCTGTAGAGAAAGGAGAGAAATGATCAAATGAGCAAATATATTTGTAAAGCACTTTGCAAATCTTAAAATGCTCCATAATTTTCACATCTCTTAAAGGAACTTTTTAGTGTGTTTATTTTCTTAAGAACGTGAATGTTTGATATTTTTATATTAATATATCAGTATAATATAAACACAGACTAATTATCTCTAGCATCAGGGTATTTACGTGAGAAAATATTTTCTCATTTTGGTGAAACGTTTGAAGAGCTTATTTGTTATATATTGGTTTGTTCATTCTTTTCTAATTTTAAAATTTTTATTGGTTAATTTTTTAACATAATAGTATATTGAGAAGTACACTCTTATAGAATCAAAATAACAGCCCAGAAACCTTTTGGACAGTTTTTTTTATCATATTATGGTGCTCCTCACAGGGTGCCTAGACCATTTTAAATACAGGTATTTGTTTATGCTTAGCACCTACAGTCTTAAAGGTGCAGCTCATGGCTTTGGTTATTCTAATTAGTACCTTAGCTACAATCAAAGATTGTAAAGAATTACCTTTTAGACTCAAGTTAGAAGCTCCCTTGGGCATATTTAGATTTTAGACGAGTCAACTTAGTCTAGAAATTGTACACCCTATTTGCTGCTCAGAGACACTTAAAAATATTTGAAACTATAATAGCAATGCTTATAGTTTTTATCACTCTTCTTTTGTATTTGCAGTAGTAACAGATATAAAAACATGACATGTAAGAAGTTTTCACCTATGTTTTGTTGGTGGTAGTTATTATTGACCAGAAGTAGTGCTATTTAATATAATAATGTAAAAATGATATAAATTGATATACTACTGGAATAGTTGGTTGATCCCAGTCTCATTATTTTCATGTTAGAACAAATATTACCACATTGGGAAACTCAGACTTTGTCAGGGAAATAATACCTGCCCCCTAAATCTTAATATCTTTCTGGTTCCATGGAATCCATGATTTGAACGTGTTAAAAAGCTTAAAGTTTTGAATAGGCCCCATTCAAAAGTCACAGTTACTTAATGAATGACCTGACTTAAGAATGTTCTTTGTTTTCTTCTTATGTGGGTTTTCCCCATTCATAAAAAAAAAAATCCCAGTGTGCTTACCAGCTGTCATCCTATCTCTCCCTTTCCTTTGGTAACCAAATTTGCAGAAAAGTCTCTCTTTACTTGTTTCCCTCTCTTCCTCTTCCCTCACCTACTTTGTAGCTGTTTGGCTTTTCACATCATTATTCAACTGAATTAACTTTCTCCAAAGTTATAGATAATCTCTTAATTGCCAAGTCTGATAGCCTTTTCTCACTTCTTGACATTTGAAGCATTTAATACTCTTGGTCACCCTCTCTTACATACCCTGTTTCCTGGGTTTTCATGTTTGTTTTCTTCTACCTGTTCTCCTCCCTGTCCAAGCTCTCCACAATGTCCTTTTCTTTTAGTAGGGAACCCAAAGCTCTGTCCTAGTGCTCTCCTATCTTTTCCATATTCATTTTTCTTGGTGACCTCATCGGATCCTATGGTTTAGTCATCATTTCTGTGCAGAAGTCTACTAGATCTGTGTATCCACCCTTACTGCTGTCTCCTGAGCTCTAGTCTCATCACCAGTTGCCATTTGGCCATGTCAAACTGTATGTCCCACAAACATTTCAAACTGTCCAAAACTCCTCATTCCCTTCCAAACCCTCTTTTCTTTCATGATTTTCTTGCCGTATCTCCCTTCTCTGTGACTTTCCACTGGCTGTGCCTCATGCCCAGAATGTAGTCCCCCTTTAGCTCTTTAGGATCTCATGTTCCCTTCAGCTCTCAGTTCTGCCTGAAATCTTTCAGGATTTCCCCTCAGTTCCCGGTGCTCACCCTCACAAAATTGCTTTGTTTTATTTTTAAATACATTCATTATATACTTATTTATGTAGATATTTTCTTGTCTGATAAAATATAAGCTTCTTGATGTCATAAAGTGTTTCATTTTCTTCCTTAGTATGCCCAGCATCTAGCACTGTCCCTGGAACATGGTAGATGCTTAATAAATGCGTGTTGGTTGATTGATTTTTAAATTACATTGCCATAATCCTGGAAGAAATGAATAACAGTTCTGTGACGATTTGATGCACGAAGCCTATTTTGTAAATCTCATGTACAAAGCATTTAACTAGGTCCTAATAATTAAAAAATATAGTCTCTTGCTCTCTAATAGCTTGTACAAAATAATGAAAAAGATATGACAGTACTTTTTTCTGTTATCCATAGATAATTAGACAAATTGATAATCTCAATGTACAAATGAACTTATTTTATATATCATTTTGTCATGCAAATGAACCCCCCCTACCATTTCCTGATTTACCCAATTTCATCTCCATTTTTGAAAAGCTCTAGTAGTTAGGACTTCTTTCTTACCTCAAGCCTAATTTATCTCTGCAACTTACACCCATCATTCCCAGTTCTGCTGTCCAGGGCCAGGCAGAGGAAATCTAATCCCTCTCCCTTGTGATGGCACATCAAATACTTGAGAATAGCTACCATGTCCTTTCCTCCCTGACCTCCCACCCCGTGTGTTCTGTTGTTTTTCTGTTGTCTTCTGTTCTCTTTCACTGTTCTCTCTTTAAATAGCATCCCAAATTCCTTCAATGTGTTTTCAAAGTGGCATGAAAACATTCTTTAAGGTCTTGGTTGCTCTCCTGAATACTTTTGAGCATAGCACTTTCCTTTGTTAAATGTGGTAAGCAGAAGTAGGTTCTAGGCTGGCATATGGCAGGACTGTCATTTCCTTATTCTAGAACGCTGTGCCTCTATTAAAGCGGTTTAACATTATATGAACTTTCTTGGCTGCCTTTATCACAGTGGTGACTCATTAAACTTGTAGGCCACTAAAATACCCTGATTTTTTTTTTAGATGAACTAGCCATGCTTTCACCCATCTAAGTATATGACTTTACACTTATTCCTGTGAATTAAATTTCATCTTATACTATTCAGACCAATGTTCTAGTATTTTAATACCTTTTAGAAACCCAGATTGCCCTCCCAGCCTCTTGTTATCTGCAGTTTTGATAACCATGCTATCTCTGCCTTTATCCAGATTATTTTTTAAAATGTTAAACAAACTTGGGGTCAGAGCACAGCTCCTTGGGGCAATGTATTAGAAACCTCCTTCAGAGATGAGATTGAGCTATTGACAGACTGTTCTTTGGATCTGCCTAGTTCAGTTGGTTCGAATCATACTATTGCCTAGCACTCATCTTTTCTATGTCTTTACTAAATGAACCATGTGAGAGACTTGACCAAATTTTTTTCTTAAAATCTCAGCAAGGTATGTTAACAGCAAATTCCTCTGCTCTGCCAGTCTAGTAATCCTGTCAACAAAGGGAAGGGGGCTGGTCTGACAAGATCACTGACATGAAGCCATGCTGATTTTCTGTGCTTACCACTCCTTTTTTGTATCATCTTCATTAACTTTTCCTTTGAGAATGTGTTCTAGAATTTTGCTAGAAATTGAAAACCCATTGACATATGACTTTTGAGACTTCATTCTATTCTTTTTTCAAAATGTGACATATTTACAGCCAGATTTTATTATCTGCTCTGCTTTTGGCAGAGAAGGAATGATAGGAGGGGGTGGGAACGTAAGCGTAAGTGAGCCAGCTCCAGTGGGTATACCTCCTTTCACTGTTCGCTGTACCCAGGCTCTTGATCTGTTTTCTGAACCCTCATCTCTCTTATCTTCCTGTCTAGGTGGTCTGTAGTACAGGTTGGGAGTGAGGAGGGACTTTGTTGTTGTTGAATTGTTAATGTTGTATCTGACTCTCTGTGACCCCATTTGGAGTCTTCTTGGCAAAGATCCTAGAGTGGTTTGCTATTTCCTTCTCTAACTCATTTTACAGATGAGGAAACTGAGGCAAATAGGGATAAGGGATAACTTGCCCAAGGTCACACACAGCTAGTAAGTTTCTGAGGCCAAATCTGAATTCAGATCCTCCTGACTCCAGGGCTGGCATTCTATCCACTACACCACTCAGCTGCCCTGAAGGGGAACTAGGATTCCCATTATTTGTTTTGTTCAGCACTTTATACCTTTGTTTTTAGCACCCAGAAACCTTTCAGCAGTAAAAATAAACAACTCCAGGCAATAGTATCTTCCTGTCCGCCACCTGTATCACTGACTAAACTTATTTGGGAGACAGCCTTTTTGCGTATTTGCCATGGAAGCTTGTGAATTTAAGAAAGATGAGGTGGTGTTTCCTTTTTTAGTTACCTGAAAGATCAGCTCATTCACATCTTCATTAATTCTTGAGGTTTTCCTGAGGTATCAGATAAATCAGTCAGTCGTCAAACATTTATTTATTAAGCACCTTATGTGTACCAGGTACTGTATTTCATGCTGGGATACAAGATAAAAACGCACTCGTACTGAAGAGTAAATGATGGGTGAGGTTTAGTATCTTAGTGCTCCTAATAGTATCTGCGGTTTTGGTGGGAAAAGAATTTCATTACGGAGTTCTAAGTATCAGGGAGGCTAGAGGAGGAGACACTTTTTATATGAGGACCCCCCCCCCCAGTTAGTCCTCCTGAACTCCTGCCCCATAAGCAGCCTCCAGCTTATACTGACCTTACCCACATTGTGATTAAGCTGACTGGCTTCAGGTGGCATGGCAAAACAGAAGCAGCTCTGGATTTGGAGCCAGAAGACTTGGGTTTGGTTGTAAGTTCTGCTGCACACTGTGGCATAGGGTAGGTCTTTAAGTCGTCACGTCTGTGGACTTGTGAAGGTCTGCAGAGTGTATACACACACATTATGTGATACATATACTACATATGGACCTTTTCAGATGATGGACTTGTACTGTATGATTCAAATCTAAGAGCTCTTCAGAACCTTTTTCCCCTTTTTCCCTTCTTGCCCTCTTCTCTGCCCCCCAACTCCTGTGATTTTCCCACCAACAATTTTTTCATACGTCTACTTTTCTATTAAACTAAGGGCAGTTTTTTATTTCTTCCAGTCTTCTTATCCTTGCTTACTTGCTATTTATTTCTCTTGAGTAAGAGGCGACAGCAAAGGTTCAGATATGTAGACATATAGTGTGTGAAAGTTGACCTAGCTATAAATAGGCATAGCAGGTGTTTTCCCTATCTAAGCATTGTTTAGATATGTACTATCTACTAGTGATATCATTTAAGAGTATTGTGCTTGGAAATTCTGACTCTCCTAAGTACAGGATTACAAGAGTATATGCAAGAAAAAAAGGAAATATAATATATATATATTTTTTGAAACCTACAAAACTGTATGTTGAGCTTTAAAGTTCCATTTTGTTCATTCACATTATTAAATTAACTTTATTTCAGATCTGTAATTGTTAAAATAATTATACTGTGAGAACTTTTGAGGTTATTTCAGCCCCAGTGGGGATGATAGTTGGACAATCTTTTAAAACTGGCAAATGTGTGAATAACCTTGGTTTACTTTTAAAATTAGCAATGTGTATCATTTACATTAATTGCATCTCTTATTGATGAAATCCAATTTTCTCTTATTTCTTCTAACCAGTTGAGAAGACTGAAAACTTTTGACACAGTGCTTTTATTGTTTTTAGCTAGAAAGTAGGCACTGCTCTTTTTGCTGTACTTCATTGAGGGTGCTAACTGCTGATTCCTCTGGAGAAACCGTTTACCTGCCTGAAACAGAAATATTCACCAATTAGTCATTCAGTCTTTCAATTAGATGCTTAAAGGATTATTCTTTGGGATAGATTTACACTAAATTCAAGTTTGGAAGTAAATCTAATTATTGTTTGGCAGTTTTTTTTTATTTTATACATTTAACACAACTGTCCAGATACTGTTTCTTAAAGCTCCAAAGTTGTCTTATTAAGATGGACTGAATTAGCAGTGTAACGGCTATTCCAGAAAGCAAGGTTATTCTAAGATGGATATACTTTTGTTAGGTGTTAGATTTGCCAAGGAAGAAAGGTAATATTTCAGAAAAATTTGCTGTCACAGGGTTTATACTGCAAGGAGTTAAGTGTAACATTTGCTTCCCCAACTCCCCCCAAAAAGGGAATTTTTAAATTGGCTGTTTACTTTTTGGTGGCCATTGTGTGTGAAAATAATCCAATTTAATCTCACTCCTTTTTATTTGTTGCTTTGGCTGCTTTTCTTCATGGATGCCTCTGGTGCTTTTAAATGAAGTATAATGGATGTTAAATGCATGTCATCATAGAAAAAAGTTTTGATCTTCCCGTGTGAGTTATTTTGGCAGCTTTCCTCTCATATTTCTGTGTTGTTTTGCTCTTCTGCCCATCTCCTGTTTAAATTGCTTAGAGTAATGAGCCCTGTGTTTCGTCTTGTGCACTCCTTTTTTTCAGTAGTAGTAGTGCCCTTTCAGTTGGGCACTTTTGTGACTTGTCTTATACATGTTGTTTTTTACAGATGAAATCTGTTTATCTTTTGATAAAGTTGAACCTGTCTGTTTTGCCTAGATTTTAGTATTAAAACAAAACTTCCACCAATGGTACTTTATTAAAGTTTTCTGAAGATTAATTCTTCTAAGCATTTTTGGTCAAGTAAAATTCAATTCAGGATGATAGAATTATGATGTTCCTGGTAGATAAAAACGATCAGAAGAATTGAAAGGAAATATAAATGTCACATATAGAAATGCAGTTGGCAATGTGGTCTTATTGTTTTGTGTGATGGAAAAGCAATTCATTGATGTGATCACTGTGATTATGGAACATATGTCCTTATGAAAACCCAGTTTTCTGAGCAAATTGAATGTAGTTGTTTGTTTGTATTACAGTCGTTTATAAAAGGCATGTGCTTGGTTGTAATTGTTGTACGGCTTTGTATGAATTGGCACCAGGTTTGAGTGGCTGTTGAGTCTGGGGGGCAGAAGAACAGTTCATTGAGCCATTCTTGGTTGTGCTGGGAGTTGTTCCTGTAGTCATTTGCCTTGTGTTGGTTCCAGGGAAGCTGCTCGGGAGTGTCGCAGGAAGAAGAAGGAGTATGTCAAATGTCTTGAAAATCGTGTGGCTGTTCTTGAAAACCAAAACAAGACTCTCATTGAGGAACTCAAGGCCCTCAAAGATCTTTATTGCCATAAAGCAGAGTAACTGTCTTTGACTTGGACCTTGTTTACTGTGAACTCTAATCAAGGCATGAGATGCAGCAGTTCTACAAATTGCCAGGTGGACTTGTGGAAGGGACACTTGTGACCCTTGGGAATCCAGTTTGGCTTAGTATTTGAAACTGAATTGGGAGTGTTGTTCCAAAATTTGGAATGCAACCATGATCACACAGTTATACCGAGCTTTCTTCAATCTGTTTGCCAATAGCATGCAAATGGTTTTTTGTTTGCCCTTTTTGCTTCTGCTTTTTGCAGGGAAGCTGCTAAAGAATGTCGACGTCGAAAGAAAGAATATGTAAAATGTCTGGAGAGTCGTGTTGCAGTGCTGGAAGTTCAGAACAAGAAGCTTATAGAGGAACTTGAAACGTTGAAAGACATTTGCTCTCCCAAAACAGATTAGTAGAAATATTTACGCTATGAACTGATTACAACATGTACAGTTGCTTTTGAAGGCAATACAATATATAGCTGGCAAGAATTATGGCTTTTTTCCTTTGTATCATTCATCTTATACTATAATTTCTAACATTCCTGAAATGCTTTACTGTACTTTGTTGACTCTTAGCTGTAACTTCAGTTTTTTTAAAAGAGACAAACTGTAAAAAATGTATGTAACAAATTCTTAAAATGCAATATTTGTAAGACTTGTTCCATTGCCACATATTTGCAGTTTCCACTCTTTGTGTCACTAATAGTGTCCTACGAAATAAAATATTTTGCAGGTCTTTTAAAAATCATTTTAGGAAAGGATGATCAGAGATAACACATCCAACAGTACAATAGAATTAAAACACCAAAAATACCTCAGGAAGTAGTTCATAGAAAGTATGTTCTGATTACATACTTACATGAGAATAGTAGCTCATAAATGCATTTATGGCATTTTTGAGATTTTTTTATATTAGTTGCTTTGTGAAGAAAATATTGTATTGCTGTCCTTGAATGCCATGGTTGAAGATAGTTTTTAATAGAACCATGTTGGTTACACTTTGTAGTGTTTGGTGCTCATTTAAATATCTGAAACACTTATTATAGTTTTTAATCTACAGTGTAATATAAAAGATCTTGCAGAAGTTTTTAGTGTCAGTTTTATGTTACATGATCAGCACTTATCTTACAACACATTTTCGACTTCTGAAAAGAGTTAAGTGCTTCTTGCCAAAACTGAACATCTGCACCTCAAAGTATATTGACCTATTTCTACATGGTTCCATGATCTTCGCCCTGAGGCTGTTTGAGCTGTCTCCTCTGATCCAGACCTGTGGAGCTTACACACAGAAGAGAAGATCTGTGGTGAAGAATTTATGTGTGTGTGTATATGTATGAGTGCATGTGTGTACACAAATGTATGTATGCATATGTGTGTGTGTGTGTGTGTGTGTGCTGTGGAATTGGCCTTTCCTTGGAGAGGGTAAAAAAGGTTTGGAGATTTCTTGTTAATGTGCCTCTTACCTGAATATTTGCTATTAGTTGAGGCAGCCCTAAAGAAACAGTGTTCATTGTTATTCTAAAGCAATTTGAGTTATAGGAAACATTTGTATTTCAATGGATTCAAGCTAGATGCAGCAAGATTTACAAATTCATTATATCAAGACTGTGTTTGTAATAACAGGTTGTATGTGTCTACATTTCACCTGCTACCCAGTTTTATTAAAATAATTGTTTTTAATAGCCATTTCAGATTATAGGACTAAATCCCTACCTGTCATTATATATCATCTCCTCAAGTAAAAAGTGAAGTTTTCCCATGATAAAGAATCTTTTTTTACAAATGACCTTTTTTGTCTGCATTTGTATTTTAAATCAGAATGGCTATGGCAGCTTTCCCTTGGTTAAATAATCACCCCAATTTTAGTTCATAGAATCACTTTATAGAAGTGATTAATACATACCCAGAAAGAGAGAAAGAGTACCTTTCTTTGACTATTCCTTCTCTTCTGCTCTTTTCAGACATTTCTCTTCATGTTGTGTATCTCCAGGTATACTTCCAAGAAGTAGGAGAATCAAGATGTTATTCATGTATTCTCTAGAAAAACTTGTTCTTTCCCTTTTATAGTCTTTTCTCCCCCACTTCACCATGTCATCTTATGAAACTTTTTGTCTTTTCTCCTGCAGAAAAATAAGGTGAGGAAGAAGACAAGCAGAAGAAAAGAGGAAAGGAAAGAAAAGCCAAAGTTTCAGGTGAAGAAAAGGAGAGTATTTTGTACTCATTCATTAATTGAACATTACTAAGTGTCTACTATATGCCCATAATTGGGGTAGGCACTCATAGGACTACAGAAAAAATAGAAGACTCTTTCTTGGAACTGGAAAGAGATGATCTAATAAGAAGAAAACAAGTCCTCTCTAACTGAATTTTGGATCATTTAAGTTGGTATTAATCTAAGGATAGCTTCATTTTTTTTTTAATATAAAGGGAAGTGCCTGTAGGATTTAATTTGAATTAATGAAGAAAGAGGGAAGAGAAACATTGAAGGTACAAGCCTGAACATGGGTAAATCCAGAGATATAAGTGAGAATGGCACACAGATGGGTCAGATTGGCATGTTGGGTCTGTGTTGAGCAATAGTGATAGATAAGTTTGTATGGTGGGTGCCTATTGATTTAGAGTCTTGAATTTCATGCTAATGAATTAAAATTTATTTAACAAACAGTAGCAAAAAGTCTGTAAACAAGGTTAGTGATGAGGTAATGCTTTAGGTAAGTCTGGCAGTAGTATTGATTTAAGGAGATAAATCAGGATATTGCACTCATCTAGTTATAAAGTTGTGAAGGTCCCAAACTGTGATTATAGCAGAATGTGGCCATGTAATAGAGAAGGAGGCATGAATTTGAATAGTATTTCTAAGTAGAATGAATAGGGATGAGGGATAACTGGTAAGTGGGGGCAAAAGATAGAGAAAAGTCGATGATTTGAAGATTTAAGGAGGGGGGATTAAGGTTGGGTGAAGCAAGGCAAAGAGATACAAGGTAGTACAGACAGAGATAGGAGAGTTGGAAAGAGAACACAAATCAGAAGAGGGGAAGTATGTTTTAGTTTTAAATATATTGAGTTTGAGGAGATGGCAAGATAAACATAACATGGGAGAATGTCCAGTAGGTATCTAGAAATGTAGTTCTGAAATTCAGATATGGAAAGGGTTATCAAATTGGATTTCTGTACCACAGAGGTGATGTTGAGGCTCTTAAAGTGAATGAATTCTCCAACTTGAGAATAGATGGAAAAAAGCAGAACACAAAGAATTGAGTTGAGGGTGTTGTCCACACTTAAAGGTCAGTGGCAGGAAAATGACTCAATGAAGCCGTCAGAGCAGGAGGTTGATTTCACAACCTTCTTCTTTGCAGAAAGCATCCTCTTTTTTTGTCCTTTTTTTAATTGATCAATCATTAGGTAGATTTAAAAACCTACTATATATTACCATCATTCTATTAGATGCTGAAAGGGATGCAAAAATAAGTATGATATACTTCCTGCCTTTGAGGGGTATATAATCTAGCTGTAAAAGAGAATAACCTTAAAGAGGTGCAAGAAAATAAGACTGCATCTAGCAAATTGTGTGTTTTATGAGTTGGTAAGAGTGAGAGTGAGTGAGGACCTGAATAATCAGAGAAAGTTTCACAGAGGAGGTAGCTGGTAATCTGAATCTTGAGGAATAGGTAAAATTTTAATTAAGAGTATTCCAGGTAGTTTGTAAACATTAAAATACCTCAGCAAGTCATAACGGCTTTTGCAAAGACCCAAATTTGCTTAACTCTGTAAGGAAGCTCAAGTAAGTAAACTCAAGAGAATGCTTTATGAACCCATAAAGAACCCATGCTTTGTGCTTACCTCAGCTATGACATTTTTATTTTTATATTGCATGCTTAGAATTCTATAAAATTTAAAAATATGTTCAAAGAAGGCTCTTAGAATATTCCTGCATTTGAGAAGTTTTGTGTGTGTTATTGTAGCCAAAAATATTGTTAACATAACATTGTTTTGTGGATCTGTATCTATCTATGACGAGACACTTCAGACATAATCTTTTTGGGGTAATGCCTGCTACGTAAAATCATGCTTAAATCTTATTTAAGGAATAAAAAACAATCATTGCAAAGCTAATTAACATATTTGGTGCTTAGAATAGGTTTTATTTAAAATAAAATGCCACTCGTGTTAATTCTGAGCCAGTTCTAACTTGGAAAAGCTTCGAAATCAAACAGCCAAAAGCATTCTTGAATTTCTTCAAGGAAAGGAAAAAAAGTAAAACACTGAACTGCCATGTGTTATTGGGCAATTGTTTTCCCTCTACCATTGGCATTAAGTATTGTTGACTTTTAACTCAGGCTTTCCTCTTTCCTATCTAAATAACCTATGTTCAAGGTTATTTGGTTTGAAGTTAATAGTAGGAGACTTGATCCTGCTCTGAAACGATGGCAATGCCATTAGTTCCTTCCTGTAGTAGAATAGAAACAAAAATATAATAACACTGAGCCAAAAAGTCATCACACTCTTTCTCTTTTGTGCTTTCTAATGAAATTTAATATTCTAATGAAATTTAATAGACATTGACTGCTTTGTGCCAGGAACTGTGGTCAGTACTGGATGTGCTCCTGCCCTCCAAAGCTTGAATTCTGCTTAGAGGAAACAACACACATATGACATAAATTTACATACACCCTACAAGGAAATGCAAAATAAATATGAATTTGCTGGTGGAGGAACACTAAAACCTGGAGGAATTGGGAAAGGCCTCATGTAGGCAGTGGCTTGAATAATGAACCTTGATGATGGGACGTAGGAATTCCAAGAGGCGGAGGTTCAGGCATAGGGGAGATGCAATGTCTTATACAGGGAGTAATAAGCACTAGGCCAGTTAGGCCAGAAAGTAGAATATATGTGGGGGGAGTCTTGTGAAATGAGTCAGAGAATAGAGTTTGGAGCCTGACTGTAGACTAAATGCCAAGCAGAGATTTTTGTTGTATTGTAGAGGCAACAGAATGCTACTGAAGATTCTTGAGAAGCTTTAGTAACACGAATTATATAGTTGTATTTTGAAGGAGGGGAGAAACTGGAGGCAAGGACAGTAATAGAAACTGTTGGAATAATTGTTACGAGGTGCTGAGACCTCAGACGTGTTCTGGCTCTGTGATCCTGGAAGGGACTGGACCTTTGTACAGCACTCACCTCACAGGCTTGTTGTGAGGATTAAACAAGGTAATAATTACCTAGAACTTAGCACATAACCTGCCACAGAGCAGGCACTACATACTTAGCAGACAAAGCCTTTTGAAATAGAAATATAGGATTATCAAGTCAAAAAAGACATTAGAGATTAAGTCCAACACTCTAATCTTATAAATGAAGCTTGGAGAAATTGAATGCCTGCTGGCAGACCTGGGCCTAGAAATGAGGACCACTGACCTGAATTCCCTCTTTCAACCATATCGGGCTCTTTTGCTATTGGTTTTATGTTGTCACTTTCAGCTAAAGTAATCAATTTTTTGGTTCAGCTTTAGGGTAGGTTAGGTGTATATGTTATGAAAAAGGTCTGTATCCTTCCCGATTGATAATTCTGCAATTTATTGAAAACCATGTAAAGCACATTGCCTCACCACAGTCTTGTCATCCAGAATTTCATCTGGTTTCCATGAGAGTAGACAGTCTTCAGACATTATTCTCACTAAAGAACAGGAATTAAATAATATTGTTGCCACAATGCTTTGCCCTGGCTTTAGGAAAGGTATCTCACCTACAGTAAAAGAGTTTTCTCAGTGAATGCCTTGCAGTAAAAGTCACCTGTCTTTCACTTTTAGAGGTTATAGACTCATGATTCAGGCTATATAAGTACTAAGTTGTGATAATAAAGCTCAATCTTTTACCATGAGTTCTTCCAGTAATCATTTTCATGAATTATGTGATATGAAGATATGCCTAAACAATAAGGCATCATTTATATCATAGAAGCCCTTGATTGGCAGAGCCCCAGGCATATAATCCCTCAATCTTATGTTAGCATTTAGGGAGCACGTACTTTGTGGCAAGTAATGTGGGAGAAGCAAGAACTAAAAGGCACCATCCGTACCTGGAGTCTTAAGGAAATCTAGTTCCACTGTTAAGAGCCAAATTTCTTAGGTAAATGATTAACTGAAAACTTCGAGTGTAATGCAGTTTCTTCTCCACCCTCACCCCTCTAAACAGCCCCCAGGGTCCTACACTGACTCCTGAGACAAGGATTTTCATGTCTAGCTTGGATTGTCAGGGCTCCTACAGTCTTCAGGGCTTCTTGGCAGGTTTAAAATGAAAGCCCTCAATGCTGCGATTGTTTCGTTGTTTTTTCCAATCACCCGTCCTCCTGGCCTGGGTTCCTTTTAGCCTGGAAGAAGAGACACATCTCTAACTCTTCTCCGTCCCTGCTTTTCTCGTGATTAGCCCATACTTCTTTAGTTTTTCCGCTTTAGTAAACGAGAGGGAAATATACAGAGGGGGGCAGCAAGGTGGTGCAGTGGATAGAGCACTGGCCCTGGAGTCAGGAGGACCTGAGTTCAAATCCGGCCTCAGACACATCATACTTCCTAGCTGTGTGACTCTGGGCAAGTCACCTAACCCCAATTGCTCACTAAAAAAAAAGAAAGAGAAATATAGAGGTTTTTTTTTTAAAAAGGAGAAAGTTTAGAAAGCCTTGGAAGTTAAACTAGTTTAATATGCCTAGATTGTTCTCTTTTTTTCCCCAGACCAAACCCATTCAGTAAAGATTTTTCTTTTTGAGTCATTCCCCAACTCTTTTAAAGCTCA